CAGAACATTTCACAACATCAATTTATTTTAAAAAATCAACTTAGATATTAATTTTTGACACTTAATTAATCTCTTCAATTCAATCAACACTCTTTTTTCTTTTTCTCTCTTACATCTTCCTTTTTCTTCTTCCTTCCTTCCTTCTCCCTTTCTTCTCAGGGTCATTGAACAAGAGGAGCAAATCCAGCGTGACCAGAGGACCAGAGGGGGGGTGGGTCACGACCTCCACGTTGACCTATCGCGTTGCAAGGTCGAGTAATGAGCTGGTTGTTCGTTGCATGGCAAGGAATGCAGCTTCTTCCTCCCCCGTCATCACGAGCAAATCAGTTCAGGTTATCAGTAAGTGTATTTTTTTTTCAATTATGTTTTTTTTTTTTCTTTTTTTTTTTACTTGGTATCGAATTCTTGCTTTAAATCTCTTTTTTTTCTCTCTCTTTCTTTTTCGCTCTAGTTCGCTTACTTTCGGTCTCTCTCTTTTTTTCTCTTTCTCTCTTCTCCGCTTTCTTTCTGTATATATCTCTCTCAGTCTCCTTTTCTCTCTCTCTTTCTTTCTTTCTTTCTGTGTGTGTGTGTGTGTGTGTGTGTGTGTGCGTATGTGTATGTGTGCGTATGTGTGTGTGTGTGTGTGTGTGTGTGTGTGTGTGTGTGTGTGTGTGTGTGTGTGTGTGTGTGTGTGTATGCGTGTGCGTGTGCGTGTGTGTGTGTGTGTGTACGTATGTATGATCAAACATGTTATCCCCTATGCGAGTTTAAATTAGTGACAGACACAGAGCATGGCTTAATCCACCTCCCAACAGTTATATTCCTTTTTACGCAACAAATACAAGATTGTCAGATTTATTTCCAGCAGCCAGAATTGAATTAGCAAAACGTGAATGAACATCTAATATTTTAATCCGGATAAAAAAAATTTGAACACCCTAATTAAATTTCAGACAAACAGCTTAATTGGTTGGCACTTATTACAATGAACATTTTGTGACTTCTGAGTTACGTGTCTGTCCAAGCAAGCATTTCCTGATTAAAAAAAAGGATAGGTTTAAATGTCTTGTATTTTATGACACGCATTTACCAAACTTGAGTATAAGAATATATATAATCTTATCTGAATACTGTATAAATCGTTGCTAAAGATTTTCCATATTAACCGAAGTAACATGAGCATTTTTCTTTTTCAAGAGAGAACGTTGATATTTTATTATTGTTGTTGTTGTTGTTATCATCTATGATATCGTTATTATCATTACTGTCGTTATTAGTTTCCATTCATCATATTCATCTCTATTTTCATCATCATCGTCTTCATCATCTTTATCTCTATCTATCTTTATCTTTATCTTTATCTTTATCTTTATCTTTATCTTTATCTTTATCTTTATCTTTATCTTTATCTTTATCTTTATCTTTATCTTTATCTTTATCTTTATCTTTATCTTTATCTTTATCTTTATCTTTATCTTTATCTTTATCTTTATCTTTATCTTTATCATTATCATTATCTTTATCATTATCATTATTATCATTATCATTATCATCATTATCATCATTATCATCATTATCACTATTATCATTATCATTATCATTATTATCATTATCATTATCATCATTATCATTATCATCATTATCATCATTATCATCATTATCATTATTATCATTATTATCATTATCATCATTATTATCATTATCATCATTATCATTATTATCATTATCATCATAATTATCATTATCATTATCATCATTATCATCATAATTATCATTATCATTATCATTATCATCATAATTATCATTATCATTATCATCATAATTATCATTATCATTATCATCATCATCTTCATCTCTATCAGCATCATCATTTTCATCTCTTTTATCATCATCTTCATTTCTATCATTATCATCATCATCATTTTCATTTCTTTTATCATCATCATCTTCATCTCTATCATCATCATCATTTCCATCTCTATCACCATCATCATCATCATCCTCTTCATCTCTATCATCATCATCTTTTTCATCTCTATCATCATCACAATCATTAATATTATCATTGTCATTGACATTGTTATTATCAGTATCAGTATCGCCACCATCATCACTATCATTATTATCATTATCTTTATCATTATCATTATCATTATCATTATCATTATCATTATCATTATCATTATCATTATCATTATCATTATCATTATCATTATCATTATTATTATCATTATCATTATCATTATCATTATTATTATCATTATCTTTATCTTTATCTTTATCATTATCTTCATATCCATCAGCAATATTATCATCTCTCTCATTTCTAATATTATTACTATTCTTGTTACTATCATCCTTTTTATGTTATCAGTATCCTCATTATCATCATTATCATTATCATCATTATCATTATCATTATCATCATTATCATCATTATCCTCATTATCATTATCATCATTATCATCATAATTATCATTATCATTGCTTCCATTCGCACTATCATTATCAATATCAT